TGGCATATAAAATAGAGGAAATTTCACTGAAAGTAGAATAACATGCCAAAGAGATGGAAACAGGAAAAGAGTAAACGTTAGAGAATGTTTAGAAGTCATTTACTTAACAAAAGTTCTAGAGAGAACAGAGAAAACTGAAGAGAAGAATTACCAAAGGTAATAGGATAAGGAAATTTCCCAGCTAAAGGGCAGATGGCAGACGGAAAGGCCCACTGAGTGCCTAATATTATAATGAAAAAAGGCTAAATCAAGGCAAATCCAAGATATTCCAGAAGATTTGGGTTAAAAAGTTCAGAAAATTCCAGAGAGAAAACACAAAGGAATCAATGCCTTTGGTCTTCTCAGCATCAACTCTGGAAACTAGAAGACAATATAGTGACACCTTTTTTCTTTTTTTTAAAGAGAGAGAGACAGAGTGTGGGATGGGGGAGGACAGAGGGAGAGAATCTTGTGCAGACCCCCTGCTGAGATGGAGTGTTCCCCCCCCACACACACACAGGACTTCATGTCATGGACCCTGAGAGCATGACGTGAGCCGAAATCAGGAGTTGGATGTCCAACCAACTGAGCCACCAGGCACTCCGTGACTCCCTTAAAATTATGAAGGAAATGATTTCTAACCTAGAGTTCCACACCCCACAAACTGTTGAGTGTGAAGATAGATTAAAAACACTTTCCAACACACAGTGTCTTCAGGAATGTATAATCCTACCTCCAGAATAAACTGAAATTATACTCCACTGAAATAATGGGGGAAAAACCGAAAGAGGACAATATGGGATTCAGGAAACAAGAGGTTTGCATAGGAATGATTCTCAGGATGTTAGGGAAACAATCCTAGGATGACCATAGAGCCATGAGCTGTTAAAGTCAGCCCAGATCACAGCAGGGGTTGGAGGGCTCCAAGAGAGATATCTCCAAGAAAATGAGAAACAGAACTTATAGATTACCTGACATGACTAATTGTACTGAGAGGAGGAAAATTTGGGTTTCAATTTATGACTGGTATATGGAATATGATGAAATGATTTTAAAAATGGCAAGTTTTAACTGTGGAGGAAAAAGAAATAATTGCGTAACAAGACAAAAGTTGTAAAAATGCAGTCATAGTACACTGCATGGCTCAGCTGTGAACAATATTTGCATAGTCATAACACAACAAACATTAAATGTCTATTTAATAAAATTGTAATATAAATAGAGCAGGAGTTTAGGAGTAAGAAAAGTGTATGTGTAGTTAGCATAAGAGCTAAATTTTCTTTTTCTCTAGTAGGAAGTCAATAAAGTATGTCTAAAAATGAAGAAGGAGCTGCTAAGGGTATTAAAATTAATATGATGATTTATATTAGCAGAAACAGATACAAGAATTCAAAATTTTGGGTGGGGTTTTGGGAGTGGGAAGGCTAGGTAGGGCATTGTTGTCTTTTGTAATAATCCTTGCAGAACAAAAGTATTTACCTTCTAAGACTATATGCATGTATTATTTTGATTTTAGAGGGTGAATTGCATATGTTCTAGAAATACTTGCATTGAAGGCACAATGACTATTCCTCAATACCCTATTAATTATTTCAATACATACAAATGGGCTATTTCACATCATAGCTAATCCACTGCCTGGAAAACATGAAGTAAGACTTAACATTTAGAGTGAATTTTATTCAGACATATTACAATGAATCCTTTTATTTGTTAGCATCATCATATTTACTTTTATTATTAAGGGCAAGTGTATCACAAATATTAGTTATTTTAGGGCTAGCTCAGTTCTCAACTGGGGAAGAGTCTTCCCTTCAGGGAACATTTGGCAAAGTCACAACTGGGGGACAGGGGCAGCCACTGGTATTCAGTGGCTACAAGCCAAAAATGCTGCTGAACATCCTACAATGGACAGGACAAACCCCCAGGAATTACCAAGTCCTCAATGTCAGTAGCGCCATGGTTGAGAAACCATGCTCTGAGTCTTTGAGGATTATTTCATCAGAACGCTAAACATAAAGATTGATGATATGCAAACATTTTGCAATTTAGGACTGACTCAGCTAAATAGCTTGGTGCAGGGCTGGAAGCAGTCTGACTGTGAAATACATCTTTGGAAATGAGAATGGTAAGGTAAAGACAAAAGGTATAATAAATGATAACAATAATAATACACAGTGCTTTGGGTACCTCAATAATCTCTTTCATCCATGGTTCCTAGGGCATTTATAGACTAATAATAACTACTCTGGTTCTCATATACTACCTTTTATCCAAGGATCTCAGGCACCTTCACAACACTCTCACAATGTAGGAAGTATCATTATCCCCATTTTATATGTAAGTAAACAGAGGCACAAAAGTTAAGCAACTTGACCAAAGCCACAGGAGTCAGTAGTAGCCAATTCCTGAATCAGAGCCTATTAATACTAAGAGAACTAGTCCAAAAGTGTGTGATAAATTCATGTGGCATAAGTGTTATTCTAGTTTATTCTCTGCCATAATTTTCAAATTAATAGTGTATTCAGTACTTTATCTTTTTCGCCTGCCTTCTCTCTCCCCACCCTCCTCCCCCACTTCTTAGAGACCAAAAATTGTTTGATATCCTGTTAACAAGAGGATATTTACTGAGTATCTTCCTTGAATCAAGCATAGTGTTGATTCTTATAATAGCTTAAAAATACATGCTGTTGTTACTGATTTTATAGTAAAGAAAGCTGAGTTTCAGAGAATTTAAACAACACCTCCAAGATCTCTCAGCTACTTATGAATTTGTGTTCAGGCACACCGAATCCTCTTTCCACTCTAGCCTGCAGGCCCTTCCAGGTGAAAATCCTTTGGTAAGTTAAAAAGCATTAACATGAATCTGTCTAATGCCCAACCCTCCTACTACCCCCTTAAAACTCAGAAAACAAAACTCTAGTGAATCTGTAATTGAGGAATTTCAGGTGGCACACCCTGGATGGTACCAGTTAGGCTCAGCCTTTGAAACCAATTCCCAAGGAAGGCCTTTAATTTTCTAAGGATTTTTCCAGAGTTCTCTCCCTGCTACCCACATGTTCACCCCAACAGCCAGACCAAAGAGAGAACTGTGTGACTTTCCCTCTGAGAAATAAATAGCATGTGAATCACTTTCTCCCAATCTCATTCTTGTGGCAGGCACACACTGACTGCCCACCCACCATGTGCCACCTGGGCAAAACAGGAATACTAAGAAGGAAGAAAGTTTTATGTTAGGTAAGAGTGTGACTCAGGGCTCGCCTACTTTTTTTTTTTTTTTTCAAAGTGGTGACCTGGCAATTGTAGGCTGTGACAATGATGTGCCCTGGCTCCACTTGTAATATAGTGAGCTCTGTCTCTTGAGGTGTATGATGGTGGCAGTCCACCCAGCCCCGATCCAGAAATGTTAGATGACTTGCGTCTGAGGATAAGATATACCCTATGACACGTTTAAGGTAGAAAAATAGAGTCAATCACCGCCCCAGGTCACATTAGATCAGCATCAATGCAGTTTTGGTATCTTAAATTCTCTCTCTGTAAAGAAGAGGTGTAGAGAAGGATTAAAAGGACAATTCCAAATAAGATTCGGATGCCAATGCAATACACTGTAAAAACGAGTTTTTCCTTTTCTCTTGCAATCCTAAAATAGTAAACCCTTGATAGTTCACTGATAATTTAAGCCCCTCCTTCTTTCAGCCCACCCTTTCACCCAGAAACCACAGGCTTTGCTCAGAGAGAAGGGTCTGGGTTTGTTTCGGTTTTGTTGTTGTTTTTTCCAACTCTTCTGCCTGCCACTCTAGTACCTCTGAAGAGGGGGCAGCGACCAGGAAAAGTGACGCGCGACTGTTTTCCCATCCCAGCCAGTCAGGGCTGAATCATCCCAACTTCACTGCATTTTCCCCCTCGGCCAGCCCCATTCTTGATTTTCCCTCGAAGAATATATCTTGTACTTAAAAGGAAGAGTGGTGGGAGACAGAGAGGCGGAGAGGCGGAGAACAGGAGCGGGGTGCAGGGCGTGGAGGGCTGTCCCGCTCCGAGTCAGCGTTGCCGCGGGGCCCGCCGCTGCAGGGCCGCGAGCCCAGGAATGTGCGGTGGGACAGGCGGGCGCGGGGCGGGCTGCAGCGGCGGGCTGGACCAGGCGGCGCGCACCTGAGCGCCGGGGGCGGGGCGTCGGCGGGCACGACCCCCCGCACTGCGCGCCGCGCCCCTCGCGCGCCGTCTCGGCCCTTTCCGCCCGCGCTTCGGCGCCGCTCGGTTCACCTCCCGCCCCTCGCACCCTCCCTCTCTCCTTCCCTCTGGCCCGGCGGAGCCGTGAGATCTGGCCGAGAGTTTGCAGCAGCTCCTTCCGCGCCGCCGGCCGGGCTTACCTGGACGCCTACTCCCAGACCCCACGCCTCGCCCTCCACCAAAACTCTTCTCAGGTAAGGGGCTGCTTGGGCCGCCGGAGCTCGACCCTCGAGGCGGCTGGACAGCTGGTGTGTGTACCCGTCCCGCCTCCTCAGCGAGCCTCCTAGGGGCTTCGCGCCTCGCCCAGGAACGAAGGTGTTGGTGGTGGGGACCTTGGCCCACGGTGGCCGGAGCGAGGGGCAGGAGGTCCGACGGGCCGACAGGTGGAGGGGTCTGGCCCTGGTCCCCCGACCGCCGCAGGCGCAGACCCCGGTGGGGATGGGGCAGGCGGGCCGGGGGTGGGGACAGGCCCTTTTCTCCTCCCCTCGAGGGGCGGCGATCGTCCAGGCCCGCTGTGTAGGTGCGTCGGAGAAACTTTGCAGGGTGGGGACTCGGCAGCCACTTGCCGGCGGGGACTGGGCAGAGCGCTTTGCGGGGGGGCGGGGGGCTCCGAGGCGGGCCGGCGGGCAGACCCTCCGGCCGGGCGAGGGACCTAAACGCTTCTCTTCCCCGCCCCCTTTTGTGTTTCCCCTCAGACTCAGCGGGCACCGGGGGAGCCTCGGCCGCCCCCACGCCCGGGGGTCGTTCCCTCGCATCCTCCCGGCCTCGGGAAGGCAAAGGCGGCGGCGGCGGCCGGAGCGGGGCTGGGCGGCCTGAGGTGAGAGCCCGGCCGGCCCCGCTGGGAATATGGCGACCGGTGGCTACCGGACCAGCAGCGGCAGCACCACAGACTTCCTGGAGGAGTGGAAGGCGAAGCGCGAGAAGATGCGCGCCAAGCAGAACCCCCCGGGCCCGGCTGCTCCGAGCGGGGGCGGCAGTGACGCGACCGGGAAGCCCGCGGCGGGGGCTCCGGGCACCTCGGCCGCAGCCGCAGCCAACGAGCTCAACAACAACCTCCCCGGCGGCGCGGCCGCACCTGCCGCCCCCGGCTCTGGGGGCGTGAACTGCGCGGTGGGCCCCGCGGCGCTGCCCCGGTCCACCCCCGGCTCCCGGCGGCCGGACGACGAGCCGCCCCCCACGGCCACCGCCGCGGTCTCCGCCTCAGGGGCACCGCCGGCCCGGGGCGACGAGGAGGAGCGGGACGGCGCCCCGGAGAAAGGCAAGAGCTCGGGCCCCAGTGCCAGGAAAGGCAAGGGGCAGATCGAGAAGAGAAAGCTGCGGGAGAAGCGTCGCTCCACCGGCGTGGTCAACATCCCCGCGGCAGAGGTGAGCGGGCGGGGGCGGCGGGGGGGAGCTCCCCCGGCTCCCGGGCCGCCGAGTTTCCCCGCTCTAGCCCGTCCGGTATTACTTAATCCTTTCACCGGGTTAGGCAGGCAGGGGGTGATGGAGTTTTACTCGGTGCTTCCTGGGAACTTCCCCAAACCCCAAGTGGGACACGTGCTTTTCAGGCTTCCTGGCTGAGGTCTCAAGATTCAGGATCCTTCTCTTTAGCGGTGGAAAGACAAAACTCCAAAACTTGCCCACCTAGGGTTGTTTGTTTTCACTTAATCAGTTAAAAAAATTGATTAATGGCGATTACGACATACTAAGTTTGGTTTCCCACGTGTCTATCTGAAGTTATCAGATTGTTTATCTCTTTTCTCTTGACAATGTTTAATAGCACCTGTAAAAAAACGTGTCCTTAGCACTATCCAGCACAACTTTTTCAGTGTATCCAGATGAGAATATCCAAATAAAGATAATACTATTTTATCTATAAACCAGCTTTGGGGAAGAGCGCTCCTCAGCCCCCCACCCCCCTCCTCCCACCCCGCAGTTAATTCTGAGTGATAGGACAATAGGAGGAAAGTTGTAGTAATCCATAATTCTTTTTGCTAAGATGATCTTTCCTTGTATTTAAATATTTGGCTCTGTATATTGCGGAAAAGAGTTGTGGTAGGGGTTTTGTTTTTGTTTTGTATTTTTGAGCTGTCTCAACATTCCTGCAGGCAGCAGCATCTTCCTATTAGAGTGAGTGGTGAAACATTTTTACTTAATGTGTAACCGCACCTATCTCTGCCCTCAAAAAAAAAAAAAAAAAAAAAAAGTCCTAAACAATTTTGGTTACTTTAATAGAAGCGCACTGGTTTTGGGAAGTGATTACACAACTTTGTTTCACCCAAAGTAGTTGCATCTTTTTCTCATTGGCTCTTTAGTTTTTTAATTTTTTAATTTTTTACATTTTTTTACTCGTGGTTTTCTAATTTATTCAACTTTGATGACCAGTAAATAAGAATATACTACCTTTAATTGCGATTTAAGTAAAAGAATTCGCAGTAAGTTAGGGTGTGTGTGTCAAGCATACCCAGCTTTTTAAGTGTTAATATGTTTTCCATACCTGGAAAATTACGGTTTGTCTTTGAAGGATATATTTTTATATGCATGTTTCAGACAGATTTTTATCAGCCAGCAGAACTGTCCTCTGTGGTTTGCTACTTGCACAAAAGATCTGTTATTCATTAAATTGCTTTAAAAGGAATTTCATGAGAGTGGTAATCAAATTTCTAGGGGTTTTTTTTTATTTTTTTTTTTGTTTTTTTTTTTTTAGTTAAAAATATGAAGATTAAGGGGAAACTAAAGACAAGGCTTTGGAAAAGTTACATTCCTCAACTTTATTTTTAAAAGTAGCTGATGGTCCAAATAAAAGAATTAGTCATTTCAATCTTTTCCTCATTGTTCATCTGACAGGGGTCTTATTTTGGGAAATATTTTGGCAGATGTTAAACTTCATTTTTGTCTGGCTGCTTATGCTAGAATTGTTACTTTTCAAGTACCTTTTTTGTTTTTGTTTTTAACAAGGGTAATGTTTACTGGGGGAAATCGGTGTGGTGTATATTATGAGATCCTAAGAAACATCCTTTGTTAATACTGCTGCTTTGGGTTAGAGAACATAGTGCTGAGAATGTAGATGACTCCCCACTACAATTGAGTCTAATACTCTGGAATGTTTTTCGTTTGGGTGTTGGCAACTCCTAAATTTAATCTTCCTTAAAAACAAACTGCTCAGGGTACCATTTTTTGTCTGTGGAATTTGAACCTTTTTTATTGAATAGGGAATTGAAGACTGCTTTCTTTTTGTGGTAACTATGGTTCTATCTGTTGCTGGTGTAGGACGCAACAAAACATGGTAATGTTTTACTGCAATATCTAATTAGCAGGCATACTTCTTAAGGGCCTTTTCATTTTCATTTAAAACAACTTAAGTCATTCAGATTATTTTAATAGTGGTAAATACATGACACAAAACTTTAAAGGTGGGCCATCTTTATATCTTTAGGTTGTTGTAGGTGATTGTTTTTTTAGAATTGTGCGCTATTCATTTCTCGTAGTAGTTTCAACATTGAGAATGTCAGTTGCTGTGGAGTTTCTTGTGTAATACAACTTAGCAATCCTGGTTTAAGAAGTCATAATATTTTTAAAATTTTTCAGGTTTGCAAATATAATAAAAACAAAATCACCAATGTGTCATTTAGGTGTGGACTTGTCCTCTTATATAATGTTGAGAAAGACTTTTATTTTCAGGCAATATTCTCAGCCAAGTTTATATTAGAAGAGTAGCATGTAACTTATATGCAAAAGCCTATTTTAGTGGTTGATAAACATTAAGCTCCTTCAAGAAGTATTTATTAAACATCTGTGTGACACATTGTGACTTTCATTAACTTATTTTAGTAATTACAGAGTATTATAAAATTGTTGTAAAGATACCTGACAACAGCTGAAGACACCACAAATAGCTAGAAGATAGTTTCAGTGAGGAAGCAAGTCAAAAACTTAAAGTGTAGATGGGGATGGGAAACTGGAGGGGGGAGATACTGCTTGTAATAATTTTAATAAAAAGTGCAAATATTCAGTTGTTGGACAAACTTTAGTTCTCATTTACTGAGGTAAAGATTATTTTAAAAATGTTTTTTTCTAAATTTTTACTTTATTTTGGGGGGCAGTAGCCCAAATTGGATAATTTGGATGTGACATACCTCCTGCCAGTCATTTTGGTATATGTTTATTAGAACAGTCAGATGTTTATTACATGTCTGTTTTCAAGGCACTATTGTAAGTGTTGTAGAAAAAGAAGAGTAAGGCAGTGTATATTCTCAAGGAGCTGAACTATAATCCAGGAGGAAGGATAAGGCATAATTATATGAAAAAACTTAAGTACTGAGTTAACAATTGAAAAGCCATCTTAACACAGCAAATTGTTTATTAGAAATATTTTGTGTTTAGGGGCGCCTGACTGACTCGGTGGAGCGTGCAACCCTTAATCTCACAGTTGTGAGTTCAAGCCCTCATTGGGTGTGGAGATTACTTAAAAAAAATCTCTATATATTTTGTGTTTAGAGGAAAGTGATGATTGGGCTGTGAGAAGCTACTGAGGATGAGGGTCTTGAGCTGAGACTTATATTTCTGTAGTTATATATTTAAACATATATTCACACATACATGTGTATACCTGTTTGTATAGTATTTTAAATATCAGAGTGCAGTGGTTCTTAATTGGAGCAAATTAAAATCATGTGAGGATCTTAAAAAAAATGCTCCCCCTGGAGAATACTTGCCCTCTCCCTCCCTGACTCTGTTTTGATTTAATGGGTCTGGGATGGATACCAGGCATTAATATTTTGATAAACTTCACATGTGATTCTGCTGTGAGTCAGGGTTCAGAACTATTGGGCTGCAGTCTGGGGATAGAGAAGTGAATAGGACACAGGCCTTGTCCATAGGGCCTCTCAAGTAATATAGGGAACTGTGGTAAAGTACAGCGTTAAGTACAGCCTGTTTCCTGGGCAGGGTATCTAACTTGTGGAGGGGATAGTTGAGGAAGGATTGCTGGACAATACCACTCCAGTTTTCAGAGTGCTTATGAAGATATAATAATTCACTAGGTCAAGGTCAACTGGCACTGAAATTTTGATTTAAATATAAAGTTAATATATATGAAAACTTACTATTTTCATAGTGATTGGCTAGAGTGCTTTATGTGTTGTTTTAATTCATGCTCACAGCAATCCCAGGTGGTAGTTATAGTTTCTCTTTTTATCCTCATTTCCAGAAGATAGAATGGAGACTTAGAGAATTTAAATGACTCGGGATCACATGGAAGGTGAATAAGTGGTAGAGCAATATTTAAATGTTTGTGTGTGTGTGTGTGTGTGTGTGTGTGTATGTGCATTTTGGGAAAGTGTTTTTAGGAATTAACCTACTCTGGGGCCACCTGGCTGACTCAGTTGGTAGAGTGTGTAATTCTTAATCTCGGGGTCATGATTTCAAGCCCTATATTGAGTGTGAAGCCTACTTAAAATTAAAAAAAATAAAAAATAAAAAAAGAACCTATTTTGCATTATTTAGTTTATTTCCCTATAGCTTTTTATTTTTTTTTCTCTCTTTATTAGAGGTTCTCCTAAATAATTTAAACAACTGATTGGGGAAGACAGTAAAAGGAACTGAATAGAAATAAAGGTCAAGTTTGTAGACTCAGACATTGCTTCTGACTCTAATTTATAGTTGGCTTGGCAAGATTTTGAACACTAGGTCACCAGCAAAGTCTGTTTTGGCTAGAAGTCAGAAAATGTGTCTTTGTTTTTACTTAAGTGATACATTGTTTTTCTGTCAAGATGGGGCTAAACACCTGCCCTGTAGTTTGAAGGAGCATGTGATATATAGAAAGCACTTTTAAGTGAGCACAGTTTTAAGTTACAATTATTTAATGTATTTATTGAGCATTATGTAGGACAAGTTCTACTTAGTAAACCATGTAAATCCAGGTAGATTAAGAAATGCCTTTCGGTATGCCCAGTATGTTCCAGACTGTCTACCTTTCTATGTGATGAGTCAGAAGAGGAACTAATAGTGACTCAGGTTGGGGAAAATTGAACTTGTGAATAGGATAGATATAGCAAAAACATTAAGACTGCTTAATAAGATATGAAGCCCAACTTCCCTAAATGTTTGAACTCATTGATGAAGTAAATTAAAATTTTAATATTATTAGGATTTGTAAAGAGTCATCTAAGCTGAGATGCCTTTTTCTATAAAAATATGTAATTAAAATAGATAACATTTATGGTGTGCTTATTAAGTGCTAGGCACTGTTCTAAGCACTTCACATGTATTGGTGCATTTAATTCTCACTACGACCCTATGGGAAGATGGAGGAGAGCAAGTAAGTATACTTGCTTCGAGTCACAAATGTGGTATGGAGCAGAGTAGAGATAGTCTGCCTTTAAACC